CCAGAAGGACTCACTGACACAGAGGGAGGCTTTGGAGCATCTGGAGGTGAAAACACAGAGAGGTAACTGCAGTTTGAATTTCTGACCAAATCAACTGTGTAAGTTTACAATGAGAGGAGTGAAGAGTTCTGGATGGTGTTAGCAGGATCACATGACAGTTCCTGCTCTTAGCCAGGTCAGCTAGCTGCCAGCTGCTTGGACTCCCCCCTTCTTCTCTGGGCATATCTATTTTCCACTATGAACACTCAATTTCAGAGTGTCATTGAAAGATGGCACTTCCTTCACAAATGTTTGACTTAGATAATCACCTATAAAAGTACCTAAATGCTTGCTCAAAGATAGTCTTGTATTATTGTGATTTTCTTAGTGCTTTTGTAGGGTCTTTAACTTTTGCAGTGTAAAATGCCTTAATGGTCAAACTGACTGCAATCACCAAAACTATTTCCAGCAAATAGTTCTTCATTCATGCATTTCAATCTTATCAAATAAAGAGATCAAATTAAAAATTAAATTAAATAACTGAAAGAAATTTCAGTCTTCCTCAAAGATCCAAAACCAGATGTGGAGGTTATGTCTGCCACTATTACAACAACATTCTTCAGTTTTGTTTGCTGGGTTGTTACTTGTTCAGACTTTTGTTTATACTATGAACATCTCTTATATTTTTCTGTTAGGCTACAACTGTTAGATTTATGCTTCATATTTCTTTAAACTCTGATATTTGTCCGAAGGTCTTGAGCCGCCCATCACTTATCTGAATTTTGCATAAGAGAGGACAGACTTTCACCTACTGCATGTTTCTAAAGTGCTCTCCAGGTTTTATGAAGGTGTTTCAATGTTGTTCTTTGGACATTGGTTGTTTTTTTTAATCATCTTCAGTCCGGTCCTAGTATCTGAAGGGGAATGTTTTTTCAAGCTGTGTTTTGACCTTGCAACCGTGGAAATTAAAGTCTGTTAGTGCCAGTGCTTTGGGTCCCTCTCCCACAGCAGCATTTCACTGACCTTGTTAATCACTCAAAGTGTTTAGAACAGAGCCAGACATATTTCTGGCATATTTCTTTAGACCAGAATACACACGCACATGGATGTTGTTGAGCAATCAGAGTGTTTCTGTCTGCGCATTAATTGCTGGATATTCCAGGATCCAGCAATTTAATGCTTTCATGTTTAGAAACTTAAGTCAGCAATAACCATCGAGTGCAAGTATCACTTTCTGTCTTCTACCTTGCTTTTCTTGGTGTATGTTATGGCCCTAGCAGGGCCTCCTGACACGGTTGATCTGATATCCTCGTGTTGGTGTTGTTCCCAGATCATCATACTAAATGTTGTTCCAGGATCAACATTGCAAGTGACCAATCAGAATATTGTGACGTCATACTTTTGCGACTTCGGGTAAAACCGGCGTAAAACAAAAAACTGTACTTAAGCTGCGAGAAACCGCCTCTGTCTGCCGATCAACGGACCCTGACCCTAACCCTAACCCTAACCGTAACCCTTTAATAAACAGTAAGCAGAATTGATATTGTCCTTGCAACATTGGAATTTCATAAATGCACGAATGGCTTGGCGCGCAAAAGAATAACGTCACAACAATGTGATTGGTCACTTGCAATGTTGAACCTGGAACAACATTTTCATGATGGTCTGGGAACAACACCAACACGAGGATATCAGATGATCCTCCTGAAACTGTCCTTGTGTGGGTGTGGTGGTGTTCTCTCTCCGCCTCCTCCTCTCTTGCTCCACCCCTCTGTCTCTCTCTCACTCTTCTCTCTCCCCAGGACACAGCTCTTGTTCATTGGCCTCGTTTACCACTTGGGCCCAGTCAGCAATCACTTTTCTGAGGTTATATAAGCTGGAGATGAACTGTATGTGTGGTGGTTTTTCCCCTGTGGCTCTACACCAGTTCTCTAGGTGTTGGAAAGGGTCCTTTATGTGTCTGTCATGCCTGTGTTGAGGAGTTAAGTTGAGTGAGTAGACAGGCTTGTGGGCCCCAGAAGTGTCTCCTTTATTTGTTAGGTGGTTTTTTCCTTTGTTGCTGCAACTGCTTCCTTTGTTTCTTTGCATTATTGATAAAACGGTGTTGCTGGCTCTTTTGGTCAAGATTATTTGTAATAAAGCTATATTATATATTGACTGTCTGGTTTCCTTTTCATTCCATTCTGGACCCACTTGTTACCGATCCCCACACTCACATCCCTAGACCTCTTAGTGGTGACGTAACAGTGTACACAGCCTCTATTTGCTGCAAGCAAATATCTATATATGAGTATTCAATTGAAATGTTCAATATTAAGATTCTTTCAGAATTAGAGTCCCTGAACAATTTAAAAGATAAGAAGTTTAAGTGTAACAAGCCTGTAAATGAATGTTCCCCCACACAATAAGAAATATACATGATTATAAACTTCAGGGAGCCTAGATTACCCTTTATTTATCAACAGTTATTGAATCACTGGCTCAAAGTCAGGCTCTGAACTAAGTGACCTGTGACGAATGTTGAAAGTCTTTGTGAAAATCGTGTGACTTACATTTCACATCAATAGTGATGGATTTAAGTTTTGACCCCAGCTTGTTCACAGCTCTACAGTAATACTCTTCAGAGTCAGAGGACTGGATGGAGCTGAAGATGAGCTGTGGGTTTTTGCTGAGTGGTTGGCTGTTCCTCTTGTACCAGACATATGTAGCTGCTGGGTTAGCATCACTGCTACAGGTCAGAGTCACTGCAGTGCCCTCTGTGATTTCACCAGAAGGACTCACTGACACAGAGGGAGGCTTTGGATCATCTGGAGGAAACACAGGGAGACAAAAGCATGTTATTAGTTCCTTCAAAGGTTGAATTATTAAACAGATCAAACAACTCAACGAATCTAATGCTACAGGAGCTTCTCAGTGATGAGATTTGGATGGTGTTATCAGAGAGATGTTCTCAGTCCCATTGTAACTTTATGATCTGAATAAATGGCAAAATGTTCTAAACAAAACAAGGCTAAAAAAGCTGTTTTACTCACATTTCACATCAACAGAAATGTTTGCAGGTGTTGATGTTCCCAGCCTGTTCTCAGCTGTACAGTAATACTGTCCAGAGTCAGCAGGCTGGATGGACTTGAAGGAGAGCTGTGAATCTGTACTGACAGGTGTTTGATTGTTCATCTTGTACCAGACATATGCAGCTGCTGGGTTAGCATCACTGCTACAGGTCAGAGTCACTGAAACGTTCTCCTTGATTTCACCAGAAGGACTCACTGACACAGAGGGAGGCTTTGGAGCATCTGGAAGAGAGAACTCAGGGAAATAACTGTAGTTTGAATTTCTGATCAAATCAACTAACTGTGTAAGTGTACAATGACAGGAGTGAAGGGTTCTGGATGTTGTTAGCAGGAATGTCGTCATCCTCAGACATACTGTGACTGAATGAGTGGATCAAATTACAGTTCATTTCTGGGAACATGAAGGCCAGTTCAAACTTTCCACCATCACTGTGTCAGTAAAGGAAAGATTTGCAGATTGTCTAGAAACCACAGACAGATGTGTTTTACAGAAGCTTCGATAATTTTACTTCTAATTGGAAAAAACAATATGCTTAACAGCATGTGTGGCTTTGTGACATATTTCTCTTTTAGTTTGCATTTCTAGGCATACATCAGGGTTTGGTTTGATTATGTAAACAACAAATGAGAAGAACAAAAATACACAAACTAAATAAAGACTGCTTCATACTGGAGATCTTCTGGACCAGCTACTGTAGTTAAAAACACTGAAATCAGTTTTATGTAGTAAAGTTCAGGTCTTCAAGTATGTGTTGTGAGTAAAACAGAGAGAGAGCACTGTGGTATGAAACTGTTCCAGCCGCCAGGGGACACCATGTTTCATCTTTGACAGATGCAGTTTTCTGGCATTCAGTACAGATCATCTACAGATGGAGAACAGATGATCATATATGTTTTTAAACTTGATAGATCCTAGACTTTCCCTTCATTTTTAGCAGCTGTTGAATCACCAGTCACAGCCGCACTCTGCTCTATCTGACCTGTGCTAAATGTAACAGCAGCTGACTGTAAACATGAAGCAGACAGACCAGAAGAAAAATGATATTATAGACAAGCATGTAGAAACATTTACAGA